GGTTCTCAGACAGGTCGGGACCAACTCGCGACAGGTGCCCGACGAGCCTTTCAGCAATCACTCTTTCAAAGAGCTTGGAAACCTCGTCGAGCAGGCAAATGGGACGATATGCAGAGGGTGATTCTGCGGGCCTGCCTTGCTTCTTTAAGAGGACTAATCCGGCTTCCTTCCAACGGATGGGAAACACGCCTGACTGAAGACAGCTATTGAACAACCGCCTCAGACGGTCCCCTAGAGCACCTAGAGCCAACACCAACGCACGGCCAGGGACACCATCCGGGCCAGGCGCGGTGTTTCGCGCACTCAATCTACGCACAGCTCGGTCTAACTCTCCTTCTGTTACCCCTAAGTCAGGGGACCAATCTGATAATGGTTGGGGTAGTGAGGGACTGTCTATAACCACTGGGAAGAGTGTATTTATCACCCTTTCCAGTAGATCCGGATCAATGGTCTCCGTAAGGGGGGGAACCCACGGGCGCAGTTTACCCATCACCAGACGGTACGGTCTTCCCCAAGGATCTCTATTCAGCCCCTCAAGGAGTTCCCTCCAGGACCGAGACTTGGCATCTGCAATGGCACGTTGGAGAGCCATAGTTGCCTCCCTGTATGCTCTATAGGCTCTAGTGATTTGCTCTTCCGTGGCGCTCGGTTGTCTTCTGCGTCGGGTGCGCTGGAACTGACGTCGGTGCCTCAGACAGACAGCACGCAACTGTGCAATGTCTGCTGACCACCAGTAAGCCGCTCCAGGACGCTGGCTACACTTGACTCGGGGCATAGAAGCGTCGCAGATTGAAGTCATTTTGTCCCGAAACCAAGCAGCCTCTTCTTCTGGATCGGGCGAGATCCCTTGGGAACCATCTTCGGGCCAGGCAACAACGTTGGCAGCTGCAATGAGTAATTCGCGATCGAGCTTTTTGAGGGCCCAACGGCGTGCCGGTGGGTTAGAACTTGGACGACTTCGCCTATCGGATGGACTGGATGCCACTTCGAACACAATGTGGCGGTGGTCGGAAAGCGTAACCATCTCCTCAGCCACCCTCCAGTTCATAATTCTGGAGGCTAGAGAAGGAGACGCCCATGTTAGGTCTACAATTGACTCTCCTTGCCACCGAACACAGGTGGCAATAGATCCTCGGTTCATGAGACAAAGGCCAAGTGAAGCCGCCCAGTCCTGAACTGCATGTCCCCTAGGCCTATCCCGAGTGTTACCCCATGCTCTGGAGTGAGCATTAAAATCGCCCAGGATTAATACTGGACGGGGTGAGCATTTGTGCCGAATGCAATTAGCTACACCATCCAAGTATCTCTCGAAATCAATGAGAGAGATATTTGGAGACACGTAGCATCCCACCACGGCTATTGGTCCCCACTCGACAGCCACAATTCCCTGGCCCCTGTCTAACAAGGTACAATGAGGCTCACCACCCCCTCCAGCCCAGTAAATTGCAACCGAGTCTACTGTATCACGGAACCAGCGAGGATGATCCTGGAGACCATAGGGCTCTGCTACTACCGCCAATGCAACCGACCACTCCGCAACGGTTTGCATGAATAAATTTTGCGCACTGCGGCAGTGGTTCAAGTTGCATTGCAGGACTTTCAGGGCTGGGAATGTGACGTGTCCATTTCCTCTGGGGTGCTTACACTTTTAGGTGCAGCTGACGTCTCTTGCAATTTCTTTTGCGACCGTTTCTTTTGAGGATTACATTGTTTTCCTCCAAGACGGTGGTTTGCAGGGCGGCCCTGGTCTGAGCATACCGGACACTTTAAGCTTTGCGAGGTACACTCACGAGCTTTGTGGTCACCACCGCAGGCATAGCACTGGGAGCTCCGGTCCACAGAATTGGTACACATACGCCTGACGTGTCCTGGCTCCAAACAGCGGTAGCACATCATGCGACGTGGCTCCAGAACTTCGACTCTAACTGACGTCCATCCTAATGGCATGCGCTTGTCAGACGCCAGTTTTTTCATAGCCACCAAAGGGCCACGAACCCATACATGCCCCAAGGAAGAAGGGGGACGTCGGATTTCACCCATTTTAATTTCCTCCGTGGAACATCCACCCGCCTTAGCAATGGCCGCTGCCACCTCCCCTGGGGTTACAGCGTCGTTCAAGTCCATAACCCTTGCCTCAGCCATTTTAGTCGGACGTCCAATTTGCACCTCAAATTCCCTAAGGACGTCCCGCATACGACTTGCGAGACGATCAGCCTTGAAAGAAGAATCTTCACCTGAGATCATGAAAACAATCCCACCATCAGCAGCACGTTTCTCACGGCATGAGTCACTAGTGATACCGAACTCTGAGAGACTGATTCGTCTCCTTGCCTCAGCAAGTATTTCCCCAAGACCTATGGTTGCACCCTCCCTTACACGTACAGTGATCGCTGCAGAAGCGGGAACTTTTGGCAGTTTCACTGACAGCTTTTTAGATACTTTAGCCGGTGCAGCAGAGGCGGATGAAGCAATCGGTTGTGGAGCATTTGCCTTCTTGGCCTTGCGTCCCACCACTAATGACCACGTGGTTGTATCCTGGGAATTTGTTGCTCCCGGTAGTCCATCTTTTGCAGTCGAAGTTGACTCTCTTACAAGTGATGCTGCAGTCACAGTTGGTGTGATTGCTATAGTTTTCTTCTTCTTATTCTTCTTTTTCTTCTTTCCGACTGTCGCCTCCGTCTGGACTGGCTCAGAGGCAACAAGTCTCCTGACATCTGAGGCGAGAGCTGGGCGTACCGACTTCTCTGGCAACAATCTGCCCTCTAGAGCGGCTAGCTTCGCGTCCATCATAGTGCCAATCTCTATGGCGATGGAGCGTCGAAGTTCAGCCTCCACATTTGGTGCTAGACCAGGCACCGACGACTTTGGTTTTTCTCCCGGTTGGGATAGTAAGTTAAGCTGGTTTTGTAGTGCAGCAACAGCTTCTTTGAGGCTAGCTACCTGAGATCGTAGGTCTGTGTTCTCTTTGGCCAGTCTTTCCAAAGCATCTTTATCAGGTCCAGCCTCGACTCCTACGGCAGCCTCCGCCGACCTAGCCGTTGTTCGGGTACGCTTACGTGCCCGCGCCGTTACTGACACCGTCGACATTTGAGAGACCGATGACATTTGCGAGCAATCAGACTCACCACTGTCACTTGCTAATCCTCCCATTGGTGTAGCCGGTCGCTTAAAATGCGACCGCGTTGTCCTTCCTTTCGTGCCTGAACACGAACTATTCTTGCTCGAAATCGAATTTTTCACCTCCTTATCATCATCTTTTAGTTTTTTATTTGTTAAAGTATCCATAAGATTCCCACGAGAATGGGGGATATAAAAGGTCCACCTAGGGAGTGCCCCCTGTCCCTAGGTAAGTGTACATTTAGTACCCAACTAGAGGGTCCACCGGTACCCTAGCTGGGGGTGCGCTCGCGACTGACACATCTCCTCAGCCATGCATACCCTCGCCGCGCACCAGAACTTGGTATTGGAGGAATTTTTTATAGAGGTTATCTTCCTCGCGGTCCGGGCGACCAAGCCAAGACCCTCGTCCCGTTCCGAGTCATAAAACTATGAACTCTTCCCGGATTACGACTCTGACGGCTGCGATCGAGGACAACCCGTGCCCCGATGCTACCCGTTGGCAGGGTAAGTGAACAACGGATACCGCCCTTGTTCATCCAACCCGTTCTCTGTTCAGCTCAGAGAAGCGAGCGGAAAAACTACCCGTCGGAAGCACAGGCTTTGTGCCAGCACGAAGCCCGCCGCCTCCAGAACCCATCCTGGGTTCTCCCGCCCCATCCAGAAGTTTGCTACAGGCAATAGCCACTCCAACCCTATCGCCCCCGTTAGGGAGACTATCACCTGTACCCAGGGTGCACCACGGGGAGGTCTTCTGGCACATACACAATCCTACGTAAAGAATGACTTGTGGCAGACATATTCCATGATCTATGGTTAAAAATAAAGGTCTGTAGTTTGAACTCCTCCTAATTTTAATTGATTATGTTTTAGATGGTTTATTTATTTGTTTGTTTGTTGTGTATAATATTTAAAATTGCATTCTAAGAAATATATATGTAATTAAAAAAAATCGGTAAAGGTTAACTAGGTATGAATCTTCTAAACTTGAACTGAATAGTTTTGATTCTAAAGCTATAGCGTATAGATTTACACTAGAAATAGTTAGCAAAATATTAATTTTCTATAAAGAAGTCTATACAAGAATTTTAGTGGTAGTTAGTGTAAAATTTTAGTAATAGTTAGTGTAAAATAAACCCACTTTCTGCTACAGCGGATTTTTTTTTATTGTTTTACTAAAAAATAACCACATTTTACATTCAAATAAAAATTAGAAAACTCTTAATTTTGATTTATTTTCGATATGAGTTCAAGAGTACTTTCGAATAGAAATTAATAAGTAACATAATTTGTTTTAATTAACTGGCAAAGGTAAAACTTAAATTAAATCTCACATATACAGCTGTTTATATGGCTACAAAAAAAAACCAAAAGGGACTGGAATCTTCTAACATTCTCATTAATTCTCCAATCTTATCCTCTTGCTAATGATGTGCTACATGACATAAAAATATTATGACAATTTTGTGAATTCGATAGAGTTGTAAACCAAGTCACGTAAGTCAAGTCACGTAATAGCAAATTCTAATGAAAACATTTTTCTTAAGTAACTGTTACTTGAAAGAAAAGAAAATCTTATTTTCTCACTCATGCTCAGTAGAATCTAGCTTCTATCTCTTTCTTGCATACCTCAGATCGAGTTAACTTTTTGGCTACTGAGAGTAACCATAAGAAAAGGAAGATTTCTTCGACTAGGCGAGGTAATCATGTCTGGCTGGCTTAGAGTCGCTGTAGGTAACTGCGAGTCAATATTTTTCGCAGTTATAAGTTCTACACTTTGTTTATTTCATAAATTTTATTAAAATAATTTCTTTATTTTATGTTAGTTAATATTCTTTAATTCAAATTCAAATAAATGTAGTTTAATATTCAGTCGAGGTCGGTATAAACATCATTGTATGGTGGTTTGCAGTCGGAATATCCTTGATATCCCCTTTATATCATACAGCTGCTTTCTATACGCTTTTGTTATTAATACTAGAATTAAAATGAGCCCCAGATGAACCCCTATGAGAATACAGCGACGCGCCGCTGAATGTTAGTATTCATGCAATTTTGATACAGCGTGGACTGTTACTAACATGTAAGTATTTTATTATTTTTAATCATAAATTTATTGGGTATTTTTAAGCAGATTTCTTCTTTCAACAATTTTTTTGTGAGATTTTAATGTTACGTTTCAAATATCGAAATTAAAATCGGAGTAAATGTTCTTGACCGCGAGGGCCTGTATCGTAATGTCTATATAACCACTTTGTATCAAATGAATTTGAATATCGAAAATAATAACTATGTGCCACATAATAAGTTGTTCGGATACTTTTAAGATGAAAGATTTTTTTTGTCTACTGAATCATATTAACTGTGTTGCATCGAATATTGCTTGTTGTACACAACTTCGACTATTATACTAGACGTATCATATGATAACTATATTCATTTTAAGAATATTAGTCAATTAGATTATTTGTAGCATTATGCATCGGTTGGATAGTTATAAAGCGATATCTACACTACAATTCGTCCTACACAGACAACAACCCCGTCGGTGAGAGTGCAGCTCAACTCCGTGTTGCGTCGAAGCTTTTTAAAATCAATAATCGGACATTCGGCCGCCATACCAGCAGCTTCCGCGATCTACGTATTTTCCACATTTTACCGACTAAAGGATCTTCTAGGTGGGTAAAACTGTGTTTAAACTTCATCACATATTCCCCTAATCGTCATCTATTGATATCTTCAATGAATGCGATAGTTACTTAATAACTTCCTCATTTTTACATTTCGGCATCAATGTATTGGTTATTGATATTTTTCCGAATATTAACCATACATTATAGACTTTTAAATGAAATCATTATAGGTCAGTCTTCTTTATGTGTTAGCCCCGTAATATAAAATCAAAACTCAACAATAAGGCCTCTGTTCCTCCAGGTGCCATACCCATAACCCCTTTTGAGCCCATTGTCTTAACTAAGACTATGTAAAGATTTTTTTTACATTTATTTTATAACTAATTCCAGGTATACATCACCAGTTAAGATGACTTACGATCCTGAGAGTCTCACCTGCCTCTCTCGCTACAACTGGCCGGGAGTAGCAGAAGTTAACATCCGCAACTCAGCCGATCCGCGCTTAGTGCGTGGCCCCGCTCCTAACAGTATCGCTGAATATTTTAATATGGCGCCCGTACGTCGAATCTCGGATTCCATTTATGTGGTCATCCGCGGGCAGGCCGCCAACCAAGTCTGGCCTCGCCCTACCGCAGATGAAGTTATTCGCCGCATCTTGCATCTGTAAATTCGCACTCACACAAGTGAGCCCCCTCCCTCTGTCCTATTAGCGTCTCTTCATCTAAACCGTGGCTTAAATTATATATGTCATCTACTCTTCGCAAATTTCCACAAGCTATTTCGCGCGTCTATCCTATCTGGTTAGTTATATTTTGAGATTTGTTTGATTCATTCAATGTGTGTTAAAAGTTGTGGTTTCGCTGGCGAAGCTACGCAGGTATGAGTAAGTTGTCTTTGTCATGTTTGTGTTTGTGTAATTTTGATAAATTTTGGTCATACCTTCATTAGTTTTGATTTATATAAGTGATCTTAGTGATAATTAAGCTATGTTTAAGTCAGTATAAGTAAAGGATATTTTCTATTAAAATTAAGATTAAATTTGTATTTTCACAAATTCTTCCGCTTTCTATCCCCTAATAAAAAAGGAAAAAAAGATTGGTGTTTCATTTAGCATAACTTTAAACGGACAACAAGATAAAATGCACACAATCATTTTAGGATAATGTGCTTAGGTTATCACTGTTATTTCTTATGCAAGCTACTTTATTGTATTAAATCGTGGTAAGATCAAATATTTGTAGAGATACCTTTTAATCTAGTAGGCACTGAGACCTTTGTATCAAAAAAGGGTATTGAAAATAGATCAATATTTTATCACTAATTAACACATTAACAGTACTGTTTTACTCATTTGTTCTAGTATAGGTAAACAGGTGCCCCATGACAATGCCAACCATACCTACAGTAAATAGATCTTTCCACTGGTTTGTGATCTGAGGAATCAGTGAAGTTCCTATCAATAATTTTGTTGCCCATTTTGTCAGGCATTCAAGATAAATAGCTTTCTTCCTTTTATGTACTCTATTTAGTTTTCTCGAAACATATGCAACTATATTTTTATATATGCTATTTTATTTATATTATTAAAATAAATTTAAATTAAATAAATTAAAAATTAATATTTTTTATTATAATGCTCCTTCCCCCAGTACAGTGGCAACCGTGTACAGGTGGATAGGTAGGTTTGGATCAAAGATTGTTAATACTGGCTGAGAGTATTATGTTGTATTTCAACCACTTGAAGTTTTGCGGACCGAGCCCTCGCATGCGAATGGGAAGGTAGCTTGTTGCCAAGTTCGGTCGGGTAAGTATGGGTGACAATGTGTGTCTAATATCTTTGTCTACTTTTTCTAAAATATGTGAATTTTTTCATAATTGTTGCGCGCGGAGATTACAAATAAATTTTGGTCCAAAACAACTATACCGAATCAGGGTAAAAGCCGAATGTCTGTTGATTATGTGTAATTTATTCGAAATCTGCTTGAAATTTTGTATTTTGTCCTCGATGAATGTAGGAAAATATTCATCTAATATTGGTGAACCTAGGAGGTGAAGTGAGTCTTATTTATCAGTAATTTTGATATTTGGAGCTTATATGATTAAATTTTGTTAGTCTTTAGTCTGTCTAGAAAGTCAGGAATGTATAGTTCACATTTTGATAAATTTAGGTCAAGGCCTATAGAGAACTCAATTCTTCTTTAATATAATCAAATCTTATATAAAAAGGTCGACGTCTTATCTTAGATTTCCATCATCTAAATACCATACATTAAATTTTGATTTTAGTTAACGAATAATAAGATTTATAAAACTGAAATTGGCAGGTCTTTTTTTTTTTAAGGGGCAAAATCATCGAATGACTGCTCCCGCCTGGGTGAGGCGGGAGGGAGTGTCAGACTCTTACTGACTAAAAACCACCCCGTTCCTTCTCCTGCACGTCGAGCCGGAGCCCCGGTTACCCGCGACTCCGAATCGGCATCGGCCCTATTGGGCCCCATCTGTGGTGGTCTGATGACTCTTTGAGGCGCGCGCGGAACGCGACGCGCCGTACTCTCGGGTCTGTTTCTGGTCAGACGGGGAGCCACCCATGCTCGCCGTCCGCAGGCCCAAGAGGGTAATTTAGATAATTTTGACGGGTTTCGATAACATTGCACAAAGAAAACTGTAAATTTTGAGTTTTTCTGTTTGTATTTCAGTTAACGAGGCGTCTCTTTTTACGGAGTTAAATGTCAACCTTTAAAATTTGCTCACATTGGTTACTGTTTAAAAATGTGGATAGGTACTGTACTACAGCCTCTCCTTTACAACCAATGCCTGATTCTGAAAGCTGGAATTTGCTGGTCAACGACTCCTTGTAATAGGCGCAGTAAAGTTTGACTGCGATACGGCTGTAAGTGCAACCTACAACAATGGGACAAATACCGCCATCCTTCTTACGCAGGTTACATAAGTTAGCCTCGTATAAGACACCGATGACGGATTCGCTCACATTGCCGGATAGCATTAAATTTGATTAAGGCCGTCAACTCACTATGGCTTCTAAATGTTGCGATGTTAAGCCATACAAACCGCCAGCTGAACCATTTCGGAAGTAGCCGCCGGCCCCGTGAACCTGTTGGGAGGTAACGGAAAGAGAATGGAGTTTGGAGTTGAGGATTTGGTGGGTAAAGAAAAGTGAGGTTATATGTCGGCGAAGGATGTTTACTCTATGTTGTTGTTGATGATGTTTACTCTGCTTTTGAGATGTTGAAATCGCAGTTCCCACACTGACATCCTGCAAAATTTAAAACAGATTTTGAAGAAGCAGCTATGCAACGCTTCCGGAAATTACGGTTAGCTGCTGCTGCGCACTCTGTTCTAGCAGAACAGGCCAATGTGTGTGCGTAGATCTACTGGTGGAAACAGTAAACCTACGATTTTGGGGACAATGTGAAAGATGATTCGTGAGGATAGAATCTACAAGACTAAGACGAAAAACTAAATGGCTGTGACGTTTTTGTGAAGATGACTCTAAAAGAACGCGAGAATTGAGAATAGACACATTAAGCAAGGGTTTAAAAAGTTTCATGTACCATTTGGCACAACTTTTCGTTCTATTACATAAGGCTCGAATATTTGGTCCTTCATGTCCACCCCACCCATGAACTATTATAGTCCAACACCACCTGCGGTTTAAATGGTGTTGGACGATGTGGTCGACGCGACGGAACTGTAGGCAAGGCAGTAGCTGAACAAGTGGAAATCATGGTTACTCGTTTCTTGTCTTGCCACGATAATACAGAGACATCGCCGGAATGTCTCGCTATAAACTCGCTTCTTTTAAGAAGAACCTTATTTATTATAACGGGAACGTCTCTACGAGAAGATTTCAAGGTACCAACGCAGTCGGTACCATTGAGCTTCAGAAATCTAGTTAATAGAGGCGAATTGTACCAATTATCCATAGTAGAGGACTAATGAGCTTCTTCACAACAGCTGTGTACTTTGAAGTACACATGGCGACGTCTGCAAGTCAGCACATTGCTTACCAGCACAAACAATGAACGACCACGAGTAACCATTTGTACTTTCGCAAAGGTCAACAGTATTGATACCAAACTTAGCAGCTTTGTTCTGAATGTACTGTCTAAAATGCAATCTTCTTTTCCATAGAGTTAAACTTTCATCAATACAAATATAATAATATTGCGCATTAAACGAAATAAAAACAAAATTGCGTTTTTCTGTAAAAACAACAAAAAATTTTATTTATTATAATTGCGTACAATGTACTTTAACTTTTTAACTTAGATAATTACCATAAACACTAATAAACAAAATAACTCACCTGTAAAAACAACAAAAAAACAACATTTTAAGCCTTTATTTCTTTGTATTAGGCATTATTCCTTTTATGGGAAAAATTAACTTTATAAACTAAAATAGAAAATATAACCATATGACATTCATTCTTCTAAAAAACACAGACGTCACAATGGCAGTGACATCTCTTTATATTAATTATTCTATATTTCTTATGATAAAGCGGCCAATTCAACAATGAGAATTAAGCACAGAGTATTTAATAATTAAGAAAATATAATATAGTGATTTTCTTTACACAAATATCTTTATGCAAAATATAATTTGCCTGAAACCTAGAATTTAAATGTGTAATTATTGGCCTCAGACGGTATAGTGGATCAGAGCTGCTAGCGGCGCTTATGTTGGAGGGATTTGGATAACTGTTAACTGCGGGGTCAGAATCTACAAAATCCAAGGCTCTTGATAACATTTGATACCTTTTCCGTGTGAACATGCGTCTGAAAACTTCCGTTTGCAGAAGAGGATCGACAGAAAAACAACTAACAATAGTTGGCATTCTGATGGTCCCTAACACCATACAGAATGAAAAAAGGCATAAAATTTCATGAAAATTAGTGGGATACCATTCACCCTGGAAAGCAGCAGACATTTTAGCGGCATACCGGTTCGTTTCATCCACAATTAGGCCTAAGACGTCATCGCTCCAATAGGAGCGAAAAGCATCATATGCCGAATTGTTGGCGCTTACAGAACCAGTATGCTCTGGACTAAAAATTTCCTCCTGGCCTTGAAAGGTCTCCATAGTAGACCATTCAAAGTGAAGGTTCTGGCCTTCCAGTCTTGGGAGACTATCAGCTCCATCATCAGCGTCGAAAATATCATCACCATTTTCGCTACCGCTATTAATCTCTCGTTCATTATCTCTCGGCTCTCTCAACACCTTCCATTCTCATCTGTCCTCCTTAATACATCCGTCGCCAAACTTACCAGTTCAGGGGGAACGTCTTCGTCATTCGTCCAGATTTCATTCAGTGGGTGTCCCAACTCCCACTGTTTGTTCCCCCTGCGGCCCCGGTTTGGATTCCCACGCCCACCGACATTCTGTCTTCGCACACCCCTTCGTCCACCTCGTCGCTTACCTTTCCCTCTTTCACTGGATTCCCTTTCATTTCTTCCACTCTTATTAATTTCACGCTCCTCAGGGGACACATACAGAGCGTGAGCATCCGGGGACAAGAATGTTTCTTCCATCGCCACGTCCATGTCGCCGTCGTCTACTTCGACGATGAATTCAGCGTCCAGCGGTTGGCCATCTTCCCCGAAAATCCGGATAAAAATAAATACTTTTAGTACATTTATTCCATATCGGTGAGATACGGAAAATTAGTAGTCGTAAATAATATAAGCCAATGAACTTACGATTGCAACGACGTGTTGAGATATATCGGGTTCGTGACCTGTCGTGAGACGCTGAAGGACGTGGCGATGAATCCTAAAATATTCAAACATCAAAACCACAGAAACCCAACTGTAAGAATAAAAATATTTCAAATTGAACAAAAAAAAGATAAAAGCAGTACCATTCCTGGAAAGCTTCCTATGCAAGTCGGCGGCGATGAATGATAAACATTCGATTGAAAGACTTCATTCTAAAATAAAAAAATAAATCCATGCGAAAAATTCCCATTCAAATACAATAAAAATAAAATAATTCACAAACTAATAAAAAATATTATAAGGCAAACCTCGTCTTCAATGAACTCCTCGTATTCATCGCCGCTCTCCTCTTCGACGTCCGGATTTTCCTCGTCAAACAATAAATTGAGGAAGTCCGTCGGAGGCTGCTGATTTATCCGCCAATTCGACATGCTATAAAACGAAAAGTATAAAAAGCAAAACACAATAAATATAAAATACCGCTATCACGATCGATGATGGCAAAATTTTATCGACACACAAGTTTCCCTAGTGAAATCTTAAAAAAAAAAGTTACATACAAATTTCATATTAGCTAAATACAAATAAGGACCAAAATGGCGTATGAAAAGAAAACGACCGTTACTCGTAATTTTTTGTCAAGATTTTTTTTTACTGTTATTCAACAAACACTTTACTATATCGTAATATACACGATTCTAATCACTTTTTACAATAGTTTCATTACTTTCACTGATTAGAATCACAATAATTTACACGAAAATCGCAAAACATATTCACAAACTATAACGGC